AGAGGTGATGAGCTGTAAGTTCAGAAGAAAACATACATTTTGAGTCAGATCCATAGTGTGGGTTTTGCTTGACTATACTTATTTGTTATAAAGGAGGACTTTTCTATGTGGGAAGGGGTGAAGACAGGGTAATAAAAGGGAGCAGGAAGTAGTGGAAAAAGAAGGGTGGAACTGGTACTTTTTAAAAATACACAGAAGAAAATAGAAGGTTCCAAAAGGGATATATACAAATAGGGCATTTTTGAAACTACTGTGTTAAATTGAACATCCTTCTCCTTAAAAAAACAAACAATACGTAAAAGAGATTTGTAGTTTTCTGAATCTCAAAGCAGTTTCACAATCTTCTGTTTCTATTCATTATATGAAGAAGTGCTTCTGTTTGTTCATGTTTTTTTATTTCATAATAATAAAAAAAGAATTTCAACAGATACCAGATGGAATGAGAGTTGGAGATAGTACCTGGAAACTGATCTGTGTACATCTTTTGAGCAGAAGGAGTTGTTCTAGACAAAAGGTGGTTTAATTCAAGATAATGGAGCAAAGAGGGGCCTGGTAGGCAAAAAGCTGAAGGAAATATTTATGTCAGAAATGGGCAGCTCATCTCTGAGGAGGATAGAAGTTGGGTCTCCTACACAAGAAAGAGAGAACTCTCCTATGAATAGGATTAAAAACTAGATCTTGTATGAAAAAGGGATACCTACCAGACAGAGAAATACTTTGGGGGGCAAGACCAGGGTCAGGGATAGCATAGCAGAGGGATGCCACTGGCCAAATTTATCAATCTCTCTGAAAAGGACCCATGTCCTCCTGGGATCAACCATAGGGAAACTCAGATTATCTGTATATAATGAATTGTAGCTATCCTTAATATTACACTTTAAAGCTGACTAAGCACTTTACATATATTATTTCATTTCATGAACAATAACTCTATAAAGTAGGTGCTATTATTATCCCCATTTTATAAATAAGGAAACTGAAGCTGAGAGGTTAAATAAATTGTCCAGGATCACATAGCTAGTAAGAGTCTGAAGGAAGATGTGAACTCAAGCTTCTTGAGTCTAAATCTAGTGCTCTGTCCATTATGCCACCTAGATAGATGCCTTGGCTTCTCACTTAGAAAAGAAGGACACACTAACAGAGGGCTAATGGGGAAGGGCTTATAGGTGGCCTGAGGTCTGCCAAGCTTGAAATCACAGTGTGGATTTGTGTGCAACAACTCGAGAAGTATTTGTGAGGTGATGAAAAAGCAGACCACACATTTGCTCCATTCGTCGAACCAACATTTCAGCAAGGGGAGTGGGGATGAAAATGGGGGGAGATCCCTTTACTTTTGTCATTTAAAAGAACTCCATATTCTCGAGGATGTTAGAGAGAGGGGAAATAAAGCCTGAAGAAGAAAACATGACGAGGCTTGAGATGCAGTTGGGTAGACAAGTACTTCTACAGAATCCTTAGAATCAGTCAGATCAAATCAAGTCACCAAGCATTTATTAAACATCTACTATGTGCCAGGCACAACGATACATCTTGTGAGTACAAAGAAAGACAAAAGCACTCCCTGCCCTCCGGGTGCTGACAGTCTAATGGGGGAGACAACATGCAGACAATTATGTCCAAACAAGATATAGACAGGCAACTGGGAAAGGCTTCTTACAGAAGGTAGGATTTGAACAAAGTCTTGAAGGAAGCCGGGAAATCCAGGAGGCAGAGACAAGGAGGGAGAGCATTCCAGGCATGGAAGATAGATAGCTAGAGAAAAGGGATGGAGCCGGGAAATGCAGAGTCATGTGTGAGGAGTAGCAAGAAAGCCAGTGTCACTGGATAGTAGAGTATGTGGCGAAGAGTTAAATGTAACACTACCAGTGTAGGAAGGTTCAGCTGAACGGTTGATTTGATATTTGATCCTGGAGGTCATAAGGAGCCACTGTAGTTTATTGAGTGTGGTAGTGAGTCACATGATCAGAGCTGTACTTCAAGAAGATCACTTTGGCAGTTGGGTAGAAAATGGACTAGAGTGGAGAGACCTAAGGCAAAAGGAAACCATTGAGTAGGCTTTTGAAATAGTCTAGATGTGAAGTGATCAGGGCCTGCAGTAGGGTGGCATGTTATCGTAGAAAAACATACTGTGGCTATGAAGGTTCCCACTGGGAAGCTCCATCTGCCAACAGAAAAAAATTAAACCCCTTGTAACAAATAAAGATGGTCAAAGAAAACCAATCCCCATGTTGGCCATATTTAAAAATGTATACCACACTTTTTCCTTCTATGCTGCTTCTTCTTTCACAATATGTCTAATGTGGAAATATGTTTACATGATTGCGCATGTATAACCTATATCAGATTGCTTGCTGTCTTGGAAAGGGAGGAGGGGAAGGAAGGAGGGAGAAAAAATTTGAGATTCAAAATCTTATAAAAAATGAATGTTGAAAGCTATCATTTGTCACGTATGTCAATGGCATCATCATAGAGCCTAATTCAATTGGCATTGAAAAATACTCAAAGTGGACCAGTGCACTATGCCAAGATGCTTTGGATTCTGTTAGGTAGCCAGTGGTTTTTAGTGTTGTTTATGTAGTGGCTGCTAGCAGACTTCTATGATGGAGGAAGACAAGGAGAAGACTACTTTCATCTCTCCAGCTAGATTTTTACCAGGTTGAGCCTGTTCTCCAAAGCATCTGGTGGGCACCTGCCTTTTTCCAAAGACTAATGGAGAAAATAGCTGGAGATATGAACTACCCAAAAGTGCTGGCATACCCTGCTGATCTCATTGTTTTGGGGAAGATTTTTGAAGAACAACAGGATAGAATGACAAAAATGCTAGGTTGGTTAGAAGAAACCCATCCTCATATGATATGGATACAAGACTGTCCTTGACCATCTTGGTTGACCTCTTCTGAATACTTGCAGGTTTACAATGTCCATAAACTGTGGTGCCCAGATCTGAACAGAATACTCCAGATGAGATCTGATGAGGGTAGAGTGTAGAGAAACTATAGTATCCTTAATTTTGGAAGCTATGCCCCTCTTAATTCGGCACAAAAATCCCCTCAGTTTTTATTTGGTTGCCATATCTCAAAGCAGGCTTGCATTAAACTGGCACTAAAACCTTAATCTTTTCAGAAGAACTATTGTCTAACCTCTCCTATACATATGAAATTGCTTTTTGAACTCAAGTGAGTTACTTAAATTAGCTTTTTTGAATTTCATCTTTTTAGACTCTGACCAAAGGTGTCATTTTGAGATCTTGAATCCTGACTATATCACTGAATATTTAGCTATCCTTCTTAGCTTGGTGTTATTTGCAAATGAGTATGCTATTTATGCATTTATCCACGCCATTGATAACAGCATTAAATAGTACAAAGCTAAGCATATATCCCCAAGGCACTGTCCTGGAGACTTCCTGCTTTGTTTATTCTTAACCATTAAAGACTACTCTTTGAGTCAGGCCATTCAACTAGTTCTGAATCTCTCCAACTGCACCTTGGCTGAGTCAGCATCTCTGCCTTCTCTACATCTTGTTTTTGTTGATGAATATGAACTTTTTTTCATCAACAGATGAGGAAGCTGGACTTGAAAATATCCAAGAGTTCTGGTCACTGCTTTACACCCGTACTTCCCCCAAAGGGTCTCGTGCCCTCATATTGGGGGAGGGAGGTTCCTTAGAATTGGGAAACTCTGACTTAAGATCAGAAGACCTGATGTTGAGTCTTGCTTTTGCCACTTATGAGGTTTAAACCTGGACAAATCATGTAATAATAATAATAAATAGTATTTCTAAATAATAAATGGTATTATTAGTGATATTAATAAGAATAAATGGCATTTATGCTAAAGTTTGCAAAGCTCTTAAAAATATTGCTGCATTTGAGCCTCCCAACCACCCTGTGATGTGTATAATACAGATCTATCCCCATTAAAAGGTAAACTCCTTGAGGAGAGGGTCTGTATATGTGTTTTCCTTCCTATCACCAAAGACTAACATAATGCTCATCATTTTTTTTTTTTGGTTCTGTTCCCCATCTATGATTTCATTAATTAAGGAAACTCCTACCAAAGCAGATCCTGGGAATAGTGTGAGGTTAAGGGTCACATAGGAAGCAATTTTCAGAGATGGCCCAGAATGCAAGTCTTCTCACCACAAATCTGTTTTTTAATGAATGAAATAGACATAATAATACCAATCCTATCAACCTTAAAGATATGATGAGTCTCAAAGGATGTCATAGATGTCATTGGAAGACACCTAAGCAGACTCTATCCTCAAGGAGTTTAACTAGTAAAGGGGATGGATCTGCATTATGCACATCACAGGCTTGATGTGAGGCTCAAATGCAACAATATTTTTAAGAACTTTGCAAACTTTAACATAAATGTCTATTATTATTAATCATAGATCTCAAGGCCATTTGGAACCTCAAAGTACTGTATACTGTTAATACCATTGGATAATAAGGCAGACACAGAAATGAGACCAAGAACAGGAATCATCATCATTCCCTGTTTCTTCTTGTTGCTGCCGTTTGCACCAACCACTTCCATGGAAGTCGTGCAAAGACCAGAGGTTCCTCTGTATGGACTAGTCTCCTTGAGATGTAAGTGAAAAAATGGGGGGTCAGCAGACCTAGGACTAGATCCAATATCTGCCTCTTGCTACCTGTGAGACCTTGAAAGAGTGATTTAACCTCTATGGCACAGTTTCCTTATTTGTGATGGGAGGGGGCTGGGTTAGATGATCATTAAGTGCCTGTCCACCTCTAAACCCACAATCCTAAGATATAGGCAGTTATGATATCAAAGTGGTAGGGTTGTTACATTCAATACCCTTTCAAATCAGTCATCAACATTACTCTCCTTCCTATTTGGTTTTGCCTATGTTTCGTCTGTCTCTGCTGCTATTTCAAGTTCACCACTTCCCCCTTATCACCCTTGTCACCCTGCCACACACATTTCTGTATCCTCCCCTCCCCTCCATTTTTCCCATGATGAAATTGTACTGCAACTCAGTCCTTGACACCAGCCTTACATTTCCTGGGTTGACTTTTCAGTTCCTAACTCTCACTATGACATCAAATCTACCCCAGAATTTCCATTCCTTTTCTGTTCCTCCAATTGCTTCTAGAAGCCCATATAAAGACAGGATTCAAGCATGAGACAGAGACACAGACTTCCAGAGTCTCTTAGCTTGTGCTCTGCTCCTCCAAGCCTTCTCTTCTATTGGGATCATGAAGGTCTCTGTGGCTGCCCTCTCCATCCTCATGGTCATGGCCTTCAGCTCTCTGGCATCCTCTGCACCAAGTAAGTGAGCTTTCTCTGTCCCTCTGTGACTGTATCTAGACTGTGGTCATAAGCTGGATAGAGCCCTGATGGAGGGTAAGGCCAGTTAGATCATGAGGATATGGTAAGGTCTCGTGTGGGGGGACTGGAAGGGAGGGACAGAAGCAAGTTGATTGAACTTGAAAGCATTAATATGCTCTTGACAATTTATGCTGGTTAACATATAAGTTCAAGGCAGAACAAAAGAGTAGAAAGGGCACTAGACTGGGTTCTAGTCCAACAAGGTTCTAGTTCTGGCTTGATTACTAAATATCTTTGTGGCAAGTGATCTTCTCAATAAAAGGCAGAAGTTGGATGGGCTGATCTCTGACATCCCCTGCAACTTCAACTTTTCATGTTTTCTCCATGGATCCTTTATGGAATGGGAACAGCAGGTCTGATTCTCCTCTACACACAATGAGAATCATACCTAGCATAAAAAGAGCCAGGGTAAGGGAGATGAGAGAGATGATATCCATGCTATGCCTGATGGAAAACATTTTTTTGTGGGACATAGTTAGCAGCTAAGAAATATAGAGTATGAACATATGACCCTAATTCTATATTTCCCTTTTCTCTACAGTAGGCTCTGACCCTCCTACCTCCTGCTGCTTCTCCTATGTCAGCCAACAGATTCCCAGAAAATTTGTGACAGACTATTATGAGACCAGCAGCCTGTGCTCCCAACCAGCTGTGGTGTGAGTATCCACCTACTTACTGTCTCTACGGAATATAAGGAGATAGGATGGAAAAAGGAAATGGGGTCATTTGGCAACCTGATCAAATGGATAGATCAGGCAACAGAGATGAAACCTGGCTACAAAGGAGTACAGTAGTCCATGTGGTCCCAGACCAAGGTTCGCTCCCCAGGAAGCAGGGCAAGGGCTATTATCACCTGAGGGACAGTATTCATCTGATGTAACAGGAGCTTGAAACTAGCAGGAGGCTTCCAAAGGGACTCCTTACTGGGGAAATCACTAGAAAGGAAATGATTGACTCAAAAGGACCAGGGGAATGGCATAAAAGGTGGGGATTGTCCCTTATATCTTTCTACAAATCTGCAGGTAGTTGTCAGTGTTGTGCAAGAAGGGAACATGGAGAACATTGGTCTCTCATCTACCCTCCTCTCACTTCCTAGGTTCCTGACCAAAAGGGGCCGTCAGGCATGTGCCAACCCCAGAGATGACTGGGTTCAGGCTTATATGGATGACCTGGAGCTGAACTGAGGAGCTCAGCGGCTTTAGACAATGCATCCTAAAGAAGAATGATCCAAAGCAAAGAACTCTGCAGTCGGATGAGATCTTCCAGGACTGAAGCCTTCCTGAGATCAACTTTCCCATTAGAATTCTTTTTGCAAAGTGAGATTTAACTTATTACGTAAATTATTTGGTGGTAACTTTGGATATTTATTGGTACCATTTGTACTTCTGGAGGGCACCTGTCCCCCATGGGGACCCCCAGTAGCATCTGAAGTTCTGCTCTTTTGAGTGCTAAGGCTACCTGCTGGATTCCATGATCATCTGTTAAAGAAAGACTTCAGAATAAAAATTTAAAAACCACGTCTTTTCACCATGGTTTCTATTTTCTCAAGGGAAAAGAGAGTGAGAGAAGGGTTCTGCTATTTTTATAGAAGATGGGTGTGGCATTGTTAGGGGACAATATTTCTGTAAAAACTCTAAGAATTCAGTGAATGGCCATTTCACTTTGAGTCAGTGGAGTGATGAGGAAACTAAAAATAAGATCTTTTGTTTTGAAAAAACTAGTTTCCAGAAATAGAGAAGCAATATTATCATTGCCGTATGGCCTGGGCAGACCACACTCAGACTATTTGGGTCAGTTTTGGGAACTACAATTTATGAAGAACACTGGGAAGCTGGAGAATGACAAGAGGAAGCATCCAAGGACTAAAGGTGCTTAGTCATAAGAGGATGAGTTGAAGGAACTTGGGATGCTTAGTGGGGAGAAGAGAAGACCCAGGTCAGACATAATTTCTATCTTTAGATATTGGAAGAATGTAGATTTGTGCTCTTTGGGTCCCAAGAACAGAGCCAGGAGCAATGGATGGCACTTGTGAGGAGGTAAATCTAGGCCTGATGTTAGGAAAAACTAAACAATTATGGCTGTCCAAACTGGAATGGACTGCTTCAAGCTTTGGAGGGTTTCCCCTCCCTTGGAGGTCTTTAAAGAGAAGCTAGGTGAACACCTACAAAGGATGGCATAGTGGGGATTGCTTTCAGTCACTTTTTGCAGTAGATGACTGGTCCCTTCCAAACCTCTAATTCTATGATTCTGTGATATTGTCAGGGTATGGGCCAAAAATAGTTATCTCATAGGAGATGTACCAAGGAACCACTAGGGAAAGTGGAGGAGAGAGGAGGAGAACCAGGAAAGACTTAATAAATTGGGTATTATTTCAAAAGGTGTGGCAGGAAAGAAAGTGCTTAATTTGGAGTCAGAATACCCAGGTTCAAATCCTGGCTTCTTTACTTGCATGGCTGTAGGCAAATCACATACCCACTCTGAGTCTTTAGAAAAATTTAGTGTATTTAACAATAATCTAACTATCATGTTTTTTCAATAAATGAGAAACCTGTGGTAAACTGGCCAATCTGGATGTGGATGGGCAGTGTCCCCACTCACCCTGCTCTGCCTGCAGCATAGAATTGCTGGGGAGATGAAATCCCAAGGGAGATTTGAAAAGGATTGGGAAGGAAATGAGTCCATTTTGGACTTTATGCCCTCTGAGGTTCCTTCTAGCTCCAAACCCTTGATCCTGTTATCCAGAACTCCCATTCTTAGGGGGTTTTGAAGTTGACAAAGGATTGACTTTTCTCTCAAGAACCCATGCAAAATAGGGAGAGGTAGTATTATTATCCCCATTTGATGGATAAGGAAATTGAAGCTCTGAGAGATTAATTGGTTTTCCCATGAGCATACATCCAAGGCAGGGTACACGGCTCTGTGATTTCAATTTCTACACTATTCTACAATTTTGGTACCCCCATGCTGTCTGCTCTACCAGGCTGTGCTGGAATGGTCACTACAGTGAGTGAGACAGAATCCCTTTATGTGTCTAAGAACATGGGAGGCTCTTGACTGTGACAGAAAAAATGGAGAAGTTCAAAAGATGTGTCTCCACTTGTCTTGCTCTCCTCTCACAATTTCATCTTATTTTTGTTGACACATTTTTACACATTATTGATTTCTGAATCTTTCTTATTCAGTGAATTATCCCTTGCAACAAAGATATTAAAAAGAAGGGGAAAAAAGGTTCAGCAAAACCCACCAACACACCAACTGTATCTGGCAGTTTATGTGATGTTTCATACCCCAAGTCCCCCATTTCCACAAATAGAGTGTTGGTGAAGTTCTCAACTCTTCTAAGGGGCCAAGGCTGATAAATGTGTGTATGCAGTTTCTTAAACAAGTTTAGAATTAGAGAAACCACTAGACGAAGCACTGAGGTCAGTGAGTGTAGCCAGGACAACAATGCCTTCTATAACATTCATTGGAATTCCACAAGCTTTTATTAAGTGACTACTGTATGCTAAACACTCCTGGGTGGTGAGATCCCAGACACAAAAATGAAACAATCCTTACCCAGAAGGACTTTGTAGTCTAATGGAATACAGTCCAATGGAAAGAAATTACACAGAGCCAGAGAAGTAAATTTACAAAATCAATTCTAGGGAGAAACCCTAGCTACTGAGGGAATCAGAAATGGCTTCTTGTAAAAGGTAGCATTTGAGCAGAGCCTTGAAGATAGTGAGGATTGTGAGAAGTGGAGGGAAGGAGAGAGAGCCTTCTAGGTATGAGGGACAGTCTTTTCAAAGGCCCAGAAGAGAAATATGGAATGGTAGAGGAAACATTGAAGCTTCTGGAGGAGGTGGGTGATGTGGTTAGACATAAACTTGAGGAATGTCAATTTCACAGCTCTGTGCAGGATGGATTGAGGAGATGAGAGCTTGGAGAGGACAAGGGGCTAACCAGAAAGATATCCTAAGAGTCCAGGTGAGAGATGATGAAAGCCTTGCCCAGGGTGGTGGCCATTTAATCCAAGAGGAGGGGATAGCTCAGGAAGTGTTGTGAAAAGAAAAAGAAAAAGTTTTAGAGAGTGACTGGGTATAGTGAGTGAAGAGTTGAGGATAATTTTGAAGTTTCAAACCTGTTAACCTGAAAGGATGATGGGACTCTAAAGGAAAGAGGAAATTGAAAAGGAAGGTGAATTTAAAAGGAAGAAAATGAGTTCTGCTTGGAGTAGGTTGGATTTGAGTGTTAACGAGACCTCTAGGTGAAGAGATTCAACAGACAGCTGGTGATATGGAAGTGGGATTGAGGAAGGAGATCAGGGAATTTAAAGGATTAGGGAAGGAAAATGAAAGTATCTGAAGGATGAGGATGATTGCATACCTTGTCCAGGGACACCCAGATTGCTAGTAAGCATGAAAGGCAGGATTTAAACCTCAGCCTCCTTGACTGTAAGTTCAGCCCCCTATCTACTATACCACACTGCCTCTGCTGGAGGGGAAAGGGGCAAGAAGTCCATAAAATCTGGACTGACTAGCCCTGTGAGTGGGATTCCCCTTTCTAATGGAAACTCAAGGGAGAAAGGAGAAGTCCTTTTTTGCTTCTTACCGCTAAGGGAGAATTCTAGACCTGTCTGGTTTCCTCCTCTCTCTTCCTTTTCAGGTCAAGAGAATATAGCAGACCTCTTTTCCTTCTTTTTTCCTCTTTCTCCCAGGGCTCAGATAACACCATTGTTCCTTCCAGTCGAGGTTTGACTAAGATGTTTTTGTGGGTTTACTGTAGCACTGAACCTTTAATTCTCTGTCTCTTTGAGGATGTCCTCAGATTCCCTGGATCTTTCTATGTCCTATATCTGTCTCATTTGAGGCATCAGGACACTGAGGAGGAGTGAGGGAGAAAGATGTATGACTCTCAGCACAGGGAGGGAGAGGAAGACCAGGCCACAGAGAAGAGACACAGTCAAGTCAATATTAAGATAAGGTTGTCTTTGGCAAACCCACCCACTGGCCATAAAGGAGTGATTCTCCAACTTAAGTCATAGGATCTCTCCCAATTTCTTTTATACAAAAAGTTGACCTGACCCTCACATATACATTTTTCTTTTTTATTATGAACATTATTATGAACATTTTATTATGAACATTATTATTATGAAAATATCAACAAATAAAACCATTTCAACATACAAAGAAGAACAGAAAAGAGGAGACTATATACATCTGTGAACTTTTACTGAATATAGTTTTTCTTTTAAAGGCATATATTAAATTTGTCACAATGGCAAGTACATTCCCTTGATTTTTGTGTTCACTTCTAGAATTCCTTCTGTTCTTTTGTGTTCTTTTTTTCCCCTCAATTTTCCTTTCCTTTCCTTTCCTTTCCTTTCCTTTCCTTTCCTTTCCTT